TTTAAAGTTGTGTTTTAGATACAGGGATTTCCATTTTAATGTCTAAATCTTATAAATCAAGGTGGGTTATTTTAAATCACATTCTTAACATTTAAATTTAAATGCTTTTAACAGGGAGCTTCAAATTTAAATGTTAATGGTGGGTGAGTCTAATCTTTTATTGGACCAACTTCTGTTGGTGAGACAGACAAGCTTTCTGTCTTATACAGAGCTCTTCTGCATTTATTGTTATCTTTACTTTGCACTTAGAGTTAAATATGAAAAAATACCTTTAAAATTTCAACATCCAAAAATCTCCATTGGAAATGCATTATGAATCATCTTTTAATACACAAACTTAGAAAGTAAAAATCTTACATTTCAATGCAACATGAAATGTACTTTTTGTTTTTATTCACAATGCTATAGAACAAGGGTCATCAAAAAAGCAGAGGAATCTCCCACTAAACTCAAGATTTGAGATTATTTAAAAGCTAGTCAGCCTTGGCCCATTCGCATCAAAGAAAAGTCTTTGACTGGAAATCTCTTCTCACATTCTGGAAAGCTGAGGAATTCTGGTAATTTGGAAGGGTCCTGTACAGAAAGTATTTTTGGCTTCTGCTTTCAACATTTTTCACATTTTTAGGCAGGCTTACAGTAACTTTTCAGCAGTTGAAAATGGACACAATCTCACACTTGTATCTCTCTCTTCTCTTTTCCTCTTCTTACTAGCATATGTCTTGACAATAGGTAAAATACAACTACCTGTCTCTCAGGTAGGGACAGTGGAGAATGTGATTATTACTGATTCAACCCTTGAGAAGCAGAACTCACTGGTAGATACAAATTTAGCCTTAATTTCAAATAAGGTAATGCTTCACAAAAGGTGTCACCAGCCAATAGCTTTGCATTCAATACAGGGGTCCCTTTGGGCTGGCTTGTAGTGACTTGGTACGTTTTTCTAGTACCGTCTGTTACTCCAGAATCTAAGTTCTCATTTAAAAAAAAAATAAGGGCCAGGTCCTCAGGTGGACCTGACCTTTAATCCCAGAAGTAGCCACAGGCCTACAAGGCCTCCAGTATAAATTATAATAGAGGCTAGAGATTCTGGACATATCACCTACTAGTCTTTCCCTATCTCTGGCATGCCTCTAAACACCCATTACACCTAGGAGATGTAGAACTGGCTATACCATCATCATGCAATCCAGGGATTCCCCTGTACAAAGTGCACCTCAGGGGCCAAGGATCTGGCCCTAAGGACTTGTCTACATGAGGAAGTTTTACTGGTATGCATTAGAATGTGATTTAAAGTGCTATAGTTATACCTGTATAACACCCCATGTGGACACTCTTATTGCAGTAGAAGAGTACCTTTTTCCAATTTAGCTTATATTGCCTTCTGAGTAGTTTAAGCTAAACCAAAAAAGCCACTTTTTATCCCAGAATAAAGGGCATGTCTACAGGCACTAGAGTAGCACAGGAATTTTTCCTTTGAGATAGGTAATCCACCTACCCGAGCAGCAGTACCTAGGTCAAGAGAGGAATTTTTCTATCAGTCTAAATGTGTCTACACCAGTGGTTAAATTGACTTAAATATGGCACTCAGGCGTCTGAATTTTTCACACCCCCGAGTGATGTATCTAGGTTGATCTAAATTTTAAGTGTAAACCAGGGATGAGTCCCTACATGGGGGAATTATACCAGTATAACTATAGTGGTTTAACCATACTGGTATAATTATAGTGTACTAGTCTACACTTAAAAGTTAGGCCAACATTGCAACATTATTCACTGGTGTGAAAAGTCTATGTTTCTTTTGACATAGTTACCATCATTTGGGGAGGTGGTGTTCCTACACCAATGGAAAAAAAACAATGGCCTTTCGGTTTAGGCTGCATCTATGCTACAGGGTAATACCAGAGTAGCTACTGTCTCTGTAGCATAGATATACCCTGGAAAAAATCTTTTTTGCAGGCAATCCTTTAGCCTCTAGTTACTATGGTTGGGGAAATAACCTTCAGATTGTAAACTGAGCGAAAACCAATGCAGTGATGTCTACCAGAGTCTATGTCTACACTGCCACTGCAGTTCCCAGGTATGAACAGCAATGCACACCAAAGTGTTGCACTGTAACTCCCCTGTATGAATGCTGTGGGCGTGAACTGGACAGGTCCTAGTGCGCAATAATGTAGTGCTCTTCATCCACATGGAGGAGTTACAGTGCAGCACTGTGGTGTTCACTGCTGTTCACATCCCCATAGTCCAAACTGTGGAGCAGTGTAGACAAGACCTGAGTCTGCAGATCGTCTGTAATAATAGCCCTGAGAGGTGTGACGTTTGCCTATTGACCACAATACAGTGTTAACATTGAAGTATAACAATTACAAGTGTCAACATTTTTAACTATTTCACTGTTGGAGGAAGCACACACAAAAAAGAGAGGATCGATCATATTATGAAAATATGCACAGTCTAGTATGAGAAGCAGCTTAATCCTGCTTAGGGGCAGCAGGGGAAACTAAACTTGAGATCTTAAATACAGAAATCCTGTTATTGTCTGCATAGACTTTCAATAGTATCAATGGCACTTTTTGTAAGACTGGGGGTTTTCACTGATGGCTTTGATCAATATTTTCCAAAGATGATTCTCTCCTTGCAAGTTTTTAAGTAGTGTAACTCTGTTGACATCAGTTGAATTATTCCTGGTTTACACAAGTGTAAGACCAGAACTAGCTTTCCGACACAGCTTTTGTGCAGTATGCTCTGTTCTGCTGCCTTCTTATCTCAGAGTTAGATGTAAGTCAGTAGTGCTGTGTTTATGTATGCTTACAGTTTTTGAAGCACTTTTAGGTTGTTCTGGATGAAAGATACTATTTACATTTTGAATTATTAATTTTAAATTAGGGCAGGGATTCTCTTTTTCTTAAGCATTTCCAAGACACCCATTATGTGGTATTGAACCTGCATGAACCTTGGTTGAGGTTTAATAAAGCATATGGTATCTGATTCGTTTCATGCAAGCATGGAAATGGATGACAGTGGTCAACGTACCTTTGTTTTAGAAATACTTGCTTAAAGTGCTCTCAATAAGGAAAAACAGTCTCCATCCTCAATTCAAATTAATTCTCTTACAAACTGACCTGATAATGTACTTAATTCTGTAATCCTACTTGCTCTGTGACACTCTTTCCTCAATAGATGTGAAATTATTAAGAATGAAGGCACACAATCATAGTTCATTAATGGTTATTTGCACTGCAAGGTAACTGAAGTTCCCAAGCTAGCGTCAGCACTGATCCACCACTGGCAGAAAATCTGTCCAGAGTGGAGGTGTGATGGTGTAAGAAGTATTCAAAACTCCTTCTGTAAAGGGAGCCCTTAGCTGCCCAGCCTAGCCCCCAAGTAGTTGTTGCTAGGTGGGGAGGAATCACGGACAGGGCAGTCTCTGATTCACAAGTCTATAAAGAGGTTTCCAAGTTTCAACTGCAATTTAAAACTGACTGCTCTCGGGAACCCCCTAGGAAAATTGGGGGTATAAACATTGCCTGTCACCCCTGGAATGAATCCACCAGGGTGCAGCAGCCCTCACTAGTTTTGGGAAGTGCAATTTTGGAAAAAACTGTAAAAAAAACTGATTTAAATTTTCACCACGGGTGGCGGACATCATAAGCCAGGGGAGGCTAAACCTCCCCTAATCCAGGTTGTGGCCTCACCCTGGTGCCCCACCCTCATTCCCTTGAAGCCAGTGAGATCTGAGATTATAAGAACATAAGAATGGCCATACTGGGTCAGACCAAAGGTCCATCCAGCCCAGTATCCTGTCTACCCACAGTGGCCAATGCCAGGTGCCCCAGAGGGAGTGAACCTAACGGGTAATGATCAAGTGATCTCTCTCCTGCCATCCATCTCCACCCTCTGACAGAGGCTACGGACACCATTCCTTACCCATGCTGGCTAATAGCCATTAATGGACTTAACCTCCATTAATTGATCTAGTTCTCTTTTAAACTGGTATAGTCCTAGCCTTCACAACCTCCTCAGGCAAGGAGTTCCACAGGTTGACTGTGCACTGTGTGAAGAACTTCCTTTTATTTGTTTTAAACCTGCTGCCCATTAATTTCATCCAGCGGTCTGGAGCTCAGGGTTCACTGCCCCAAAGACCTTGCAATCTAAGGTCCCAATCCTGCAACCTGTTTCTCAAGGGCACGCTCCTGCGCTCGTGGGGAAATTGTGGTATCGGGACTCAAGTAATGGCCAATGTCCCTTTCAAACTCTGCAATATACTAGAAGGGATTTCTTTCTTTACTTTTTTATATACTATTCACAGCTTTTAATGGCAAGGGCAATGTCTTGGCTGGATTTTATTCTCTCCGCCCAATCAGTGCCCAGATCAAAGATGTTTCCTGAAGAGACCAGGAGGGCCAGGCCCGCGTGCGAGAAGGCACTTCACACTGCCTCTGACAGTGACAGTTTTGACAAGCAAAGGACACGCATGGGACAAGCGGTGTTGTGTGGGTCTGATCGCGCCACTGGGGCTGGCTTCAGACGACCTGCCGCGGGACCACGCGACCAATGGGAGATTTCACGCCGGGTTCTAGGAAGCTCTTAAATGTCTCACCGAAACACACGGAGTAAAACCCTCTGTGCTCCCCTCCCAGAGAGCGGAGAGAGCGACCACAGCAGAGTCAGGCACTTCCTCCCCAGCTAGGGGGTCTCGCCCCTGCCCCTCTCCAGCAGCAAAGACCTCGACCTCCTGTTCCTATGGGCGGGAGACTCATGTGGTACCAATGAGGAACCTTTAAGCAGTGAGCAGCGGCGGCAGGACCTCGCTTTCTGCTCTCCTGAGGGAGGCGTCTGGATCATGGCACCTCCCCCCCTGGGGGAGGGAGACGGCACAACGCCAGCGCCTCTCCCGCCTGAGCCGAATTTAAACTGCGTTACTACTCCTCGCGCAAAGCACTGATGCTGGTCGAACCCTTGCGCCGCTCCCTCCTCTAGCCCGCAGCCAATAGCAGCCCCACTTCGTGACTCGGCCGGCCAATCCAGACACGCTTTATTGGAGGTTGGGTGAAGCTCTCGCCGAGCGCGCTGCGAGTTGTTGGGTTCATTCCGCTGGGCAGGGGAGGCGATTCTCCACCCCCCCCCGCTTTGTTGGTGCCTCTCCTGGGAGGGCGGCAGAGGCCGGCGATGCCCGAGTTTCTGGCGGACCCGTGGGTGCTGACCAAGGAGAAGCTGAAGAGCGAGCTCATCGCCAACAATGTGAGCCTGCCGGGCGGCGAGCAGCGCAAGGACGTGTATGTGCAGCTCTACCTGCAGCACCTCACCGCCCGCAACACGCCCGCCGCGCTCGCCCAGCCCGACTTCTCCAGCGACGAGGAGAGGGAGCCCACCCCGCTCGGCGCCAGAAGCAGAGGAGGAGCCGCCCCCGGCCGGGTAGGAGACCGCCCCCTGCCGCTCGGGTGACCCCAGCGCTGCAGTACAAAGGGCTGTGGCGGCCCCTGACCGCCGCCCGCGCTCCCACCCCTCTGTCCGGCCCGCGCATACAGACCCGCCCGCGGGGAGTTGGCCCGAGGCCGAGCGCCGCTTCCCGCTCTATCGGAGGTGCGGAGCGCGCCCTGGCGGCCCCGGCCTGTCTGCCGCGGTTTATCTCGGGTGAGGGGAGAGCTCGGTGCTTTCTCTTCACCCAGAGTTCCTGGCGGCCCCCGCGTGGGGCAGCAGCGGCTCTCGGTGGCCGATACGAGCTCCTCGGCGCAGACCTCTTCCGCCGGGGGTCTTCACTCCGCTGGGGTCTCTGCCCCGTGAGGGGCTGGCAGGTGCAGCGCCCTGCGCCGGCAGCCAGGGACCTTCCCTGCCCGTGCTCAGGGAAAGGGGCGCTCTGCCGGGATTTCCTTTCCTAGTAACTTCAAACTAGGGCGTACTCTGTTGTGTCTGGGACAGCCCGCTTCGCCCTGAAGCTCGGGGCTCGCTGAGTGTGGGTTGCCAGCGCAAGGAGTGCCTGCGGGACTAAGATGTTTGGCTAGGCTGGAAGATCGAGGTGTCTTGTTGATGCCGCTGTAAACTTTAGTAGTGAAGTTGCTGAACGGTAAATCATCTGATGGGTGCTTATTTATAATATGCAGAATAAAATAATATAGTAACCGCATCTTTCGTGTTTATAGCATGCCAGGTTCTTATGCTGTAACTCGAGCTGGCTAAAGAAGCTGTGTGTGTGAAGTATTTAAAAAGAAATGGAATTAAGTAAGTTACTAATGTTTAGACCAATTTGCCCATGACTTGAATGCCCAGAAACTTAAACCTTCATCAAAGGAAGAGAGATTCAGGCTTCTATCCACAAGACTGCCTTTGTGATCTAAACAAACTTACAGCTCTGGTACAGAGTTTCAGTTGCATTGGAATAACTCAGACAAGTGTGAACGTTTCTGTTCACACTGGTGGATGGTTACTAAGTCTATTTTTTTTTCTTTTTGAAGGAAGAAATAGTTAATGATTCTAAGGAATGTTTTATGTGTGTTTGCACTTACCTGTATCTGAGTGGATATGCTATAGGGAAGTGCCTTGTTCAGTGCACTTGTTTGGGTAACAACCAACAAGCTAAGAAAGCTAGTTCATTCCCCCCCCCCCCGCCCCCAAGCATGCGTGCAAGGAGAAAGTGGGGTGATGGATATGCAGGCCTTGCCTATACTGGGTAAACTTTATTTAAACGGTACTTGAGAGGAAATAATTTTGCTTGTAATCTAAAATACAGCCAAATACCATGGGGATGAGTCTCATATAAAAGACTTGTAATAAATAATCACTGCTAGGTTGAGTTTCATGAGTTGTAGTTCTTTTGATCTTTACAATCCAGGTGTCTAAAATCTTGTACCTTTTAAAGGTGACTTGTGAAAGGGGAAACGAGAGTGCTCGGAACAAATCTGTCCTTTTTTTTTTTTTTTAACACTAGAAATTCAGATGTAGTATAGTGAGTAACAACTGATGAAACTAGTACATCTTGGGTCAAGAAACTGAAAGAGGAAGGGATTTTTATGTCAGACTATTAAACTTACTTTTTGTTTGAACGCTGAAGTCAAATGCCTGAGTAGAAGCCTAAAGGCTGTCTTTCTTTAGAGCTTAATGTTTTTTCTTTCAAGAAAATTTCCCGCAAAACCAGGGAAAGCCATCTTTGACATGCTTCATAATTCTGAGGCACCAAAAAAACCCCCAGCAGGAATATATCAAATGTAGACAGATTTTTGGACCTCTCTTGTCCATCATAAGGACACAAAAATGCAGTATAAACCCAATTTAAAAAAAATCCTTTGTGGGTGACCTTTTAAAACATGGTTCTAAACTGAACACACGGATCCAATACTTTTCCTAAAAGACCAAAAAACCCCGCCCTGCTGCCATGACTACTGTGAAGAATATTATTACATGGGTTATGTGACAGTTGCAAGAACAATAAACCTCTAGTTTATTATGTGTCTGATGGTGAAGTCCTTTACTCTAAAAATCACAATAAATTATCTTACTGGGAGCCTGTTCCAGTTTGAAAATGGTACAATTGGTTTGTAAGTGAGGAGGGGTAGATATACAGTAACTACCTTATAAAAGTCAGTTGGATCAGTTATGTAGTTTTGTGTATTAAGATTTGATTTAATCTGAGTATTTTGGTAACATTTTGTAGCACAAGCTTCATTACTGTGGTTAATGCCCAGAACTCCAAAGTTTTCTTATAGCTGTCGGAAGCTGTTCTATTCTGTACTTGAGGCCTTAATGGAAAAGTGATATCTGAATACTACATAAACAATGTTTATTTTGGAAAATGCAAATAGTTCTATAAAAATGCAAAAGGTCGAGACCAGGGTGGATTTGATTTAAATCACTAGTCAGTGGTGGCATGTCCCTGCTCCAGCTCCTATGCAGAGGCGCAGCCAGGTGGGTCTGTAAGCTGCTCCATCCGTGGGCACTGCCCTTGCAGCTCCCATTGGAGTGCCAGAAGAGGCCATTGGAGCGCATAAGAGCTGGAACGCGGTCATGCCACGGTGTCTGGGAGCCGTGTGGAGCAGCCCCCAACCCTGTGCCCTGGCTGGAGCTCTGGAGCAGGGCCATGCCACGGTTTCTGGGAGCTGCGTGGTGCGGCCCCTGACCTAGCGCCCTGGCTGGAGCGCCAGAGTGGGGCCAAGCTGCGTGGTGCAGCCCCTGACCTCAGCAGGAGCTTGCGGGCCATAGTTTGCCTATCCCTGGGATAGATGGTGCTCAGTGAATGAGAAGTGTGGGTTTGGTTTTGGTTTTTTGTTTTTAAATACTTATGGCACACTACTCAAACCCTGCTCCTGAAGACAGAATTATTATAGTGATAAGCCAATAAGAAAAATTAATATCTGAGAGCTTCAAGTTTAATGAAGTTATTTTCACAATGCCCTGTGTGTGGTGGGGACGTTATTATCCCCATTTTATAGATGCAAAACTGAGGCACAAAGACTAGCTCAAAAGTATCCACTAACTTTGGGTGCTTAATTTGTGATGTCTAGATCCTTATTTTTGTTTCCAGAGTAACTAGCATTATATAGTACTTCATTTGCAAGTGCTCAGCACTTGGGCAAGTCAGACACCCAGAAAATGAATCTCTAACTAGTGCCATCTATGAGAAGTTTTAAGTGACTTGCTTAGCATCATGTAGGAATTGTCCAGCAGAGTCGGGGATAGAATCCAGGTCTCCAGGGTAGTATTCAGCTCCTTTATCTGTGAGGTCATAGTTTCTCTTCCTTTAGTCCCCTGCCTCGTTCACTATACACTTCTGCAGTAAATGAAGCAGGGGCCCTCCAGGCAAATCTCCTCTGATTCATCTCCAGAGCAGGATCATTCTTTGCCCGGGGGTGGGGAGAAGGGGAAGGGAGTATGTGATCATGTAATTAAAGACTGTATAATGATGAATACACACAAGAGGGCTGAATTAAGATTGCATGGGTAACCTTAATTTTGGCATTTCCTAAATTTTGAGTGCTTGACTTTACAACTTTAATGTTCTCAAAATTCTTGTGTGTGATAGAATATGTAAAATCTTTGTACAGTACAGGAACTTATGCTAATTAGAGCCTTTAGGTAATGTTGGTATACCAACAATAAGTAATGGCAAGGAAATAATCATTGCTGCAAGATATTTGAGATCAAGAGCTCAGTTGGACTCTGTAAAGGATTAGACACTTATGGATAAAAACATCCTAGTTACAGTAAACAAAAAATACAGGAGAAATACAAATTCACATGCTTCATAGACCAGCCTTCTGTGGTTGTCTTATCATACATTAGCATTTTTTGTATTCATGATTCCCAGGGTACATAGTTTCACTTTTGGCAGCAGACATGTGGTGTTGACAAGACTTGTATTAAACCGGTATTAAGAGAGCCCCTTTCTGAGTAGTAAGTTTCAGAGTAGTAGCCCTATTAGTCTGTATTCGCAAAAAGAAAAGGAGTACTTGTGGCACCTAATAGCTCACCTTAAGTGATCATTCTCGTTACAGTGTGTATGGTAACACCCATTGTTTCATGTTCTCTATGTATATAAATCTCCCCACTGTATTTTCCACTGAATGCATCCGATGAAGTGAGCTGTAGCTCACGAAAGCTTATGATCAAATAAATTGGTTAGTCTCTAAGGTGCCACAAGTACTCCTTTTTCTTTTTTCTGAGTAGTAGTAAAGATGCCTGAGCTGTGTCACTACCGGTAGTGGAATTGCAGCTGTTTGGGATTAAGGCTTTAGAAAATCCTAGTGTAGCTGTAGAGTAACTGTCCTCATTTTAGGAAGAAACATCCTCTTATTAGCAGGTTATTTCATAGTTGTCCAGATGATTTCTGGCACCTTACATTAAAGCATGTGGTACCAGCTATGGTTGAAGACAAACTATTGGAGTAGTAGAATGACTAATCTGACCTAATACAACATATCTTAGCTCTTGGCAAAATTCTTCTAGTCCTTTTATTTTCAGCAAGGGTCCTGGTGACTAGCAATCTCAGTGTTGGATCTTTTCTTAGCAGCAAAGGTGAGGGTGAGACAACATGCAGAACTGAATTTTTTTCTTTGCATTCTTTCACCCTCCCCACCCCAAGCTTAGTGAGACTAGTTGGTAAGGCTTCAGGTTTTTGAAGGATCTGTCGCTGTTCACCTTGAAGAAAGATTGCAAGTCATAAGCTGTACCTTGGTTATAGTGTGGGTGTAAGGCTAAGACAACAATCTTAGAAAAACTGTGTGGAACCACCACTGATTTTAATTGCTTGTTTGGACATTTAGGGCCCAATTCTCCAGTCTGTCAGGTTCCAGATCCCTTTGCACAGATAGCGAACGAATATGTGGTAGGGGCCTTGCTGCTAAGGGTAGAGACTTCCATTTCTTACTTATGGAACATTGGTAACAAGTGGATTTTTCACTGCGTGTACTCTTGCTCCTAAACCC